ATGCATCATGTAATATCTGGTTGCAAATCCAGTCACATAAGCCGTTCATACAAAATGTAACAAATACATTCCTTATCCTCAAATGCAATTTTCTTCCCCCCCCCCTTTGCACCATGTCCTCACAGATTAACGCAATTACCTTTCAAATAAAATTACATTTACAATTGACAGGGAAAGATATAAAATTTGAAGGGGGAAACATGACAGGTGTCAAAGGAGCTTTGAATTGAGCACAAGGCCACCAGCACATACTTTCAACCTGAACAGCAGAAGGGACAATTTTCCCTGGGATGTACTTCTCCCTTACTTTGAAGTTCCAAGTAAAAAAAAAAACCAAAGTGGCTTTGAAGATTAAAAGAAGCAAAGCATGCCAAGAAAAATCTTATGGGGGGTGGATGGAGGGTTGGGGGGTGAGTCCAATAATGGCCTGCTATGACAGGTGCCAACAACAAAAAACGTAAGGTTTGAATCAAAATCCCTGGGCACAAATCTGTTCCTGTCTCAATCACATGACACTTTTATCAAGTTACCAATGCATGCCTTCACGAAGCTTACTGAAAACGACTGACTGATTGATAGGAATCATCTGTAAAAGAAACTTGTACATGTAGATTAGGCCTATATACTGGTATATGGTAGGATACAGGAAAACCCTGGTAAACATCAGATGTAGGTAGGATGGTGTACAGTACTCCTTGCCAAGCTAGCCTCTTGATCTGAAGTTAGAGAAACAATTTATGACTGTAAAACAAAGGGAGATCAACAGGAGATCAGGAAATAAGTAATGCACATTTTTCAAACATTCCACTTTTTTTTTTAATCTGTCAGAATAACAATAGTTGGCATCCCAAGCATGTGATAATCATAATAAACCAATACCTGATGACCAATAGGACAGTCCTTTTATGTGTTGATTGATACCATCACTGTCATGGCAATCCAGTAAAATGATCACACATTTGACTGGCTGATCACTGCATGACTTCATACAGAATGCAACATATAATTAACCCTTAAACCGATTGTAAAACTGGGGGACAAAACTTCGGGGTTATTTCGGTTATTTATATTGAGTCTTAAATGAAAAACCTCTGTCATTTACAATGCCAGATTTTTGGGTGGGGGGTTCTTTGCGACCAGTCTCCCCTGATACATGACCAGAGTCACAACCAGGGTCCTACCCTGGGTAATCAGCAACACACTATGAACCCTACAGGTTTGTACTAAATTGTAGTGGCTAAGGATAGTACCCTAGATATACATGAACTACCACTGTGGTGAGTGATATACTGTGCCCATGCACTTTGAAAGGCCCAGTGCAGTCAATGAGAAAAAGAAACAGCTCTGGCTCAAAGTTTGAGACAAAAACTTGTCACTTTTATTCTGGCTCCTCAGACCTACCCTGCCAACAAAGCTCTCCCCCCAAAAAACAGATCTTTTACAGTGAAAAAAAAAATTACTACATTCATAAATCACGATCCTTGGCTTTAAATTTTCAAACCCATGAATCATGCACTTGTATCCAAATGTATGGTTTTGAGGTGAAGCAACAATTGATATCTCAATGCAACTAGAAGCTAGAATACATGTACATACAAGTAGAATGACTCATACAGAGGGTTGGTTTCATATGATCCATGACATATAAACAAACAGTAAGATTTTCTGGCATTTCACCTGAGATCTTTTTACTGTTATATCAACTGCACTGTTTGTTCACATTTGGGCCCACAAAGCAGAACCCACAGAGGATGTTCATAGTCATTTGTTTCTGCAAGGTTAGTGGGTCATGCAATCCTCAACCTGTGATGATCCAACATCCATTTGACCTGAAGAGGGACCCACTGTGACAGTGTCTATGTCCAGAATTAAGTTGGAGAGAAATCATCAGCCATATTACCTTAAATTACCACCAACCACAAATATGGAATGTGGCAAAACAGCCAAGTATGAACTTGTAAGAACAAGAATTTCTGCAGGGAGAGGTGGTTTGCGGGGAGGGAGCAGAGGTTGACACCCCTGTGTGTCATTTTTGTCACCAATTCTACACCAATTTCAGCAAAGAAAGAAAAGGGAGCGACCAAAAATACTGGGTTTCCATCAAAACATTTGCCCTCCTCTCCAAGTTTTCAGCATATAATGTGGAACAGGCACCACGCTTGGACCAGGCTTGGCAACACTAGCAGCAGGCTAAAGTTGAAGCTGTACAACCATCAGATCACGGAGCTGCGGTCAAATCAATGCAATGCGTTGGCACACTGACCTTCAGATAGAACACGGCAGAGTTTGCAGAGTCCTGTCAGTCAGTCTGACAAAAACTGACTTAAAGCTGTCTGGCTCCACAAACCGGCCAGACAGAACAGGATCAGTGAAAATGAAGAGAAAAGACACAGAAGTATGGCAACCTTGAGCAACAAGGGAATGGGCCTTGTATGGCTTCCCTACGATGGTAGCTAAATTTGTCAGCCTTCTTCTAGATTCGTTAACAGAGCAAATTGCGGCATAATTAATGGTTACTTAACAATCCTACACTGACCATGAGAGCCTTCCCGTCAAAAATAGAGGCTGCAAAGAAAAAAAGATCTGTTGAAGGTCGGCTGGTGTGCTGAGCCTTATCCAAACAGCAGCAGGTCAAATTGGTCACACATCATGTTTTTGTTTACAGTGATGTTAGGGAAACAATTGTCATATTGTGTAAGAGGTTTTGTTGCGGAACCTTCTAAACACGAAAGCCCATTTGGACACCTGTCAGTGGCAGGCCACATCCCGAGCAACCAGAGAAACATTTGCGGNGGTTGGAATTGGAAAGTGGACCAAGCAATTAAAGGTGGAATGTTTCACAAGTAAGCCAATTGTGTCCTAAGCAAATAGAGATATGCTTAGTACACCATAGGAAAGAATTTGTTACGGACAGCAGAGCCAGAAACATAATTCTCTACGATGCGACTACACGCAGTTTCAGAAAGCTGCAACAGCAGAAAATACTGCTTAGCAAGTCTACGTGCTAAGCCAAAACCAGCTGGGAACTATCAAGAGAAGACTATGCATCTGCATGAATTTCTGGTTTGTGACTTATTTCTTCTATGCAGATACATCAGAGCGCGATGAATTTTGGTTACAAATTGAAAAGAGCAGCATTCATTTCAAAGGAAGTGAACAGCCCTTAAACTTAAGAGTATTGGTTCCATGCATTTGTACCACATTCAAACTAGTATAATAGACATTATTTTCTTTACTTCTAATTTCACAGTTTACCCCCCCCTCATCAAAACTGAGTAGGTAGGCAGGGAAGCAGAAAGCATAATTTTCGAGGGGGGGCCCCACTTTTTTGCTAAGCAAATGGCTCTGGACCATTATTTTTGGTTGGAATAGAAATTGCACCCCGGAGGGCAGGCTTTTTCTAGAAAAAGAGTCACCAATGGAGAATCCACGGGGAGGGGAAATCCTGAATCTACCTCAGGTAATGTAGCCTCACTTTTACTTGTCGAGGACAGATCCCATGCAAAATCAACTTGTTTATGTTGTCCATGACTTGTTTATTTCATTTTATAACAATTCAATTTTTACATTTTACACAATTCAACTTTCCCCTGAAATTTAGCCAAAGGAGTATTGAGGTCCCCAACCACAGTACACATATACCCCCACAGAGTCTTTTCCCAACTGCAACACTTGTAACATTCAACTTTAAACCCCCTGTCCAATACAATTTATTCACATTGTGATATCCATCGCAACAAAAACCTATTTAGGCAGTTTGCTTCAAGGCTACAGTCTTGAGTGAACAGTCATACTGATAAAACTTATAACACTTGCTCTGCCTTGTCCCCGAAGTACTTGGGAGATTCCCCCAGACTGTAAAAAAAAGGTTTGACATGATGCAGTTCTAGTCCAAAGTGTAACCTACAGATCAGCTCACTGGCAAGACTGTTCAGGTAACAATATCACTAACTGGCTGAAAGCTCCCAGCTGTAACAAGTACCCCAGCTGGTACAGAACTATTACTACACAAGTTAACCAGGCCAATACATGTACCAGACCCAGCTACTGACAGCTGGGGCCTGCATGACAAATCTCTGTGTAGAGCAAAGAATGACCTCACAGATCAGATTCGGATTTGCATTTCAAGAGAATACTAAATTTGTCGACCACGGTAAAGTAGAAACTAACCTTCTCCAGCAAAGCAACTGAATTGTTACCTTTTTTAGGCTACCCGAGCCATTTTTCTATTAATATCTGAAGGACAGGATATGGGGGCACGTTTTGTCTTGCAGTGAACTGAGGGTGATCCAAATTTGATTTGACAAGAAGGAGAACAATGCAATTCCACACACCTTCACATATCTCAAAGTGAGTACAAATCTAATTTGAAATTCAATGAACCACGTGTGAGTCATTAAATGTGTCTATATAATAGTAACCCCTAATGTCAGCCGACTACAGAAAAAAAAGGTTGTCATATACTGACCGGTGATGCAATCCAACGGATGTGTTGATTAGTGGCTTGAGAGTCCCAATTTTAATGATTTTACATACCCCCTAGGGGTTAGGGTTGAATAATGAATGGCTTGATGCTACATTTTGTTTTCAACATTTGGCTAGTGTAACTCAATACTGTGGCAATCTCAGAGGCACTGTGAATTTGGTACCGAAATTTGAAAATTGGTGGACTATCTAAATTTTACAAAATACCTGTTCTACAACTTCCCTCAATCACCACATCGTCCCCATCTCCTTCCACAAAACGATCCTTCAAGCATACACATAATTGCCCAAAATTATTCTTCTCCCCGTTTGTCAGTGACTGCTTGTGAACAAGACATCAATTTCTCAGTACAAATGAACCCTCCATCCAGAGTATTGTACTTTTCTGCTTTCTAAATTTATAGACAAACAGTTCCACAACCAACATTTGAAATTGAAAATTTCCACAAATTAATTCAAGTTATAAAAAAATAGCTACAATTGTAAGAAAAAATAGGCCAAAGTATGATACTTACAGAACAGCCAGGAAATTCAGCATCAGATGCATTCTGGATATCGTGTAAGCACCGGCCGGCTAAGCTGTCTGAAGAAACTTGATCGGATTTCTCCCCAGGTTTCTCTCTGGCTATGAAAATGTCTTGGTCCGCTGCCAAAACTTTGCAGATTGAGAGGCTCAGAAAAAGGGGTTCCCCTCTCAAGCAGTTCTTTAAGTTAAAACTTTTCAGTATAAACTAGAGCCAAGAAAGTCACATATCAAAGGCATCTAAGCTCGGTGTTCTTTCTCTACTGTCCAGACACGCTGAATCAACAGTCTTGAGCTCCTGTGAGGCGATCTCAATGAACTGTGTACTTTTTATAGGTGCCGGCCGGTAGTTGTTCCACTGCAGCACAGCCAAGCTGATCTTTGTCTTGCCCCAGGCCTGTTGAATGCCACACAACCTTGCCGTGACAAGTCTCCTGGGATGGCCCTTATGTTTTTTTGTGAATGACTGGCGAGGTACGCACAAAAATTAGACTGTACATGTCCTTCACTGAACCTGCAGTCAGCTGACAGGTAGGATGTTGTTGTGGCAGGGGTGATCTAACCTTTTCTGAGGGCTCCGTGAATGTGGGGGGGTCAATAACTCAATCTTTTGCGATAATCCAAAGGAGAAAAATCTCAAACAGATGGATAACTGAGTGAGGTTTGAGGAAACTTCTTCGCCAAATGCAAGCTGGAAACAATCTCTCTCGTCATACTGGGCAGAATGCCTAGATCAAACTGGAAGCTGGAATTTTTTTAATATTGGAACTGGGTCAAGGGGAAATGGTGTGTTTACACTTTTGTTTATGGCTGAGTCAATTCCAAAAATATACTATTTGAATATCGACATTCAATTCAATCAAATATCCAAATATTTGGTCGTACCCGACCGGCAGATTGTTGATGAACAAACCATATGCAAAATCAGTTGCAATAACACACACACAATTGTACATTCTAATCACTATAACATCAATCAATTGTTGCAAGATTTCTGTCACTTTTCATATGAATCTTCTTGAAACAAGCCTCCATTGTGAAACTTTTGTCATTTAAAACAAAAGAAAATCCTCCCTTCCTTTTCATGAATTCTGCATTTGAATATTCAAATTCGGAAAATAATATTAGAGTATTCGATAATCCATCGAATATTCGGCACAGCCCTACTTTTGTTCAATGACCCCAACAAGCCAGTCTTGTCCTGGGCGTTTGGACAGAAAGGATGGCCAAAACAGAGTGAAAGAACAAATGAGAAATGGCTCCTTTTCTTGTGAATCGCAGAGCTGACAATTTAGCTCATGTTAAAAAAGAGGTTCGCAATATGCAAGTACAGGTCATATCCAACATAAGAAAATGAGTCCCAATTCACTTATTGGGTTAAAGGCCTTTCAAAGAATCCTGCACAATGTTAATCAACAAAAACCCTCAACATCTTTCACAAACATAATATTCATCCGCATCAAAATGTCAACCTGACTAAGTGATATATCACAACAAAGAACACATTAGTTGTAATGCATACAACAAAAAAGAAAAAGTGGTGAAAGAATGACCTTAGGACTCAATTCGTGGGATCCAATCACACATTTCCTTAACAATCAGCTCGCAACATACACTTACACAATTCGGGAACAATTTACTGCACTGAAGTTTTACACCAAGTACTCACTTTGCGATCGCAGGGTTCCTACCTGCATTATCCTTTGCCACACAAGGATAACTCTGGCTCTTTTCTCAAACACAAAGCTTTGTTGATGACTGTATGCTTAGCTCTCTGGGGGGATGGCAAACTCTACCCGAACATGTATTCAAAGACTTGAAAGGAAGGCTTTTGAAGAGTGTATAAATATCAAGTGAATAATTAATGATGAGCTCTTTGTCAGGAATAAACCACAAAAATGCTGAACAGGGGAAACTTATACAAAACATGGTGATCAGGGTCCAACCACACACTACAGAGCTTTTACCCAACAGCAATCGGCATCTTAAATGATAACATCTAGGTGCACGTGGCTCCAGCTCTGGGTTGTACTTGAAATGCATCTTTCGCCTGTTGTGTACTGCTGTAAGTATTAATTTTAATACAATTTTAATCTAAAATGTTTATTTTTAAATAATTTACGTCTAGTTTATTGTTTCATAAAATTTACATGTCTGGTATATGTTCGTTTTAATTATTTAGCTTAATTATGAATTTGTGAGCTGTACATGGATGTATCTTTATGAATTTTTGATAACTTTTTAGCACGCAAAGACGAGGTCCATTTCACAATGGTGACAATAAACAGTATCTATCTCATGAAGCAGGAATATGAAGAACTTGAATTTCCACTGGGGAAACTTCTTTCATTAACACGTATCGTGTTGCATGACTGTTGCCAGGTTTAGCCGGATGTACGTAAATCCAAGCACTGACAAAAGGAAGTGCAAATGTTTAGAAGAAAAAAAACAAACAGACACAATTAAGGACCTTTATGCACTGCTAACTGATGGCAAACCTCACATGCTAATTCTGTTATACAGGAAGCAATACATTGTATTCAAATGACAAAACCAAGTCAGGATAAAGAAACGGTGCTTAAAGGTACTTGCAGTTTTCAAAAATGGCAGAACATATCCAAGCATATCAAGTACGCTCTATTTGTGGTCCACTGGTGCATTTTGGCATGGTGATAAGAGTGACGGTCTAAAAACATAAAACCATGATTAAAACAATATGGATAGCTGCAATCATTCTGTCACATAACTTGAACAACACTCAAAGTTGTTTTTAAACCCTGGAAAGGAATTAATGACTCCAACATAAGTCAACACATGGTAAACGTTGTTGTGAATTTCATGTGAGGGGCAGCTCAGTGATTGAAGGGTAGCTGCAATGGCTTTTTCTTGGACATAATTTGTCAGCGCATTTGTACTTCTCTTTGATGTACACTAAGTATGAACACTCTTCCACACTCCCATTGGCTTAAATGCACTGAGAAGGGCATTTTTTTCACAGACATCTGAGGGCGCTGTTGCTGTGATGTCATCCAAGGAAGACATAGTTCAGTGCATAGGTTTTTCTCTTAAAAATTGTGAACCCAGAATTTACTTACTGAAAGCGTTTCTGAGAAAAGCAGTGATGCTCAGTAATTGCTGAGCACACAAACAAAAATGAATTAGCATCGAATATTTAGTACAGCAAACTCCCCAAAAATACATGACTTTTTTGTGTACAAACCAAAGTAACATTTATAGGCTTTCTTCCTGGGATGACATCATGGTTTTGCTCATAAATATGGAAAAAAATGGCAAAATACCCTTTGAAATAGTGAGAAAAATGCTGAATACATGGTTAGTGCCTTTTGAAGGCTTGTGTGTTAAAACAATTTGACTGCAGCTACCCTTTAAAAAATCTTGGCAAGGGTGCATGTCCAAGGAAGAATACATCCAATTGTCCATTGTTTCTGGGAAGGTATAAAGATGTGCAAACTCCTTTGTTCCACCAGTATTAAGTGATGTTTTACATATCACAAACAGAACAAAGATACAGCATCTACACTGTGAGTCAACAATTACAAATATAATACCTCACAGGGGCAATAAACGCTCATCCATGGTTTTGACAGAGTTTAAAGGATTTTTATTTAGAGGATTGAGGAGGGCAGCGCCCAGCCAATATTCTTTTCTTGGTGCTCAATGCCTGATTAAAGTTTCGGCACAAGGAATGTAGGGAAAAAAAAAAGCCCACTCCTTTAATGTCTACTTTAGTTTTGCTTCCAATACACACCAAAATCTTTGCCAAACAAAATTACATAAATGTGGGGTAACCCCAATGGTCAATAGTCACATTGTCCTAAAATTCTAATCAACCATTCAATCAACAGTCTTAAAAAACTGTCTAATGTTGCCAGCGCCAAATCTATTTTATGGCAGCACGTCTCCTACAATGGGCATAGGTTCCCACAGGAGACCTGTCGAAAACATTGAGAAAAGAGGGGAAAAAATCCAGAGAGCCTTTGGGATCCAAAGATATATGACAACAAAACGAGGCCAACTTGGCAGTATAAATGTCTCGCAGGACAGGGTAGATACAATCACGGATCCAGCGTCACAGATCTTCTGGGTCCTTCAACACAACAGATCCTCTTCACCTCTCGGAATTTCCGAGCGCGTGCCACCACAGTGACGTTTTTGGATCGGTCTTTTGGCCACCATCACACGTTGGCCACAGGAGAGACAAGAACGAAACTACGCACGTCACCATGGCCAAAATGCACTGATTGATTTAACATGCTGAATGAATTCCACTGAGAGCATTCCCAAGAACAGTTTAAATAAGAAAAAGCTGGCACCATTTTAGGACGGCATCTCTTGCCTTTTATTATTTTTTTTCTTTCCTAACAAATATCAGCATCACATCTTGGATGCTTCCCAGAGCCTTGACTTTGTTTCGTAATCTTCTAGGAGCCTTGTTCCATTTTTTTCTCTTACATTCTTTAGTTGAACTCATGAAAAAAATGAAGCAAAAGCAACTCAAAAAGTTTATTTAGGAAGCAATGTAGACTCTCCCGCATCCTTCAATACAAGTACAAAAATGTGCACAGTAATGGATCATGGATGATTCTCAAGATTTTCAGGGATTTAGGGTTAACAGTGGAAGAGGAAGGTATATCATTGAATTCACAGTAGAGACAAAACCCCCTTTTTGCTACTTCATTCTCCACCCACCCCTAATTCCATCCACCTTCCACTTTTAATCATCACTTGAATCCTCCCAGATCCTTCAAAATCCTTCAAAATCCATCATTCTCCACCCACCCCTAATTCCATCCACCTTCCACTTTTAATCATCACTTTAACCCTCCCAGATCCTTCAAAATCCATCAGAGGATTTTGTAGGCATGTGAAGGATTGAGGGATGTACAGCCCTGCCATGGTTCCTTAAACAGGGGGGCTTACCACACCCCTTGAACACATATATTCAAGTACTAAAGATTGGGCCTCAGGATTCCTGCACGGGGGAGAATTTTGGAAGATATGTCTTCTGGAAAAAACCAAGGAAGTAAAACTATAAATAACAAACTTTGAGAAAAAAAAAATTGTTTTATGGCTAAATAGCTCAGCAATCAATAAGCTACCAGTACATGTACTAAGAAAGATTTTTACAAAGATGGAAAAAAGGACACAAATTTGTGATAAACCGAATTGTCACGACTGCTAAAAGTGGCCAGAAGTTTAAGCGTGAGTTTTTTAAGGCAGCTGTGCATTCCATTGTGTGATGCACATTTTTTCCAATGACATCGGTTATTGAAAGTACAGGGGACTCATTGGTGATTTATCAAAACCACAGCATAGGAAGACGGCAATTAAAATGTATTTACTCGTGCATGGTGAAACACAGTCTCGCAACATCAAGGTTGATGCTTGGCTTATTATACAAACAGGGCCTAGTCGGGTTTGGGCCCTACTCAAACTCGGTCTGGATCCCCTCATCCCATGGTTCCTGGAAAAATTCTTTACTTCTAGCCCTTCAAATTTGTTTTTTTAATTAACAAGGTCAAGGAAAATTTTCCTGTGATTTAAGAATGTTGTTAGAGCCAAGCCACTAGATCAATTGGACTTGACCAATAGGACGAATACTCAGGGTTTGGGTTAGTAACAATATTCCGAAAACCTCTTTTGACACATATACCCGCACCAAAGAAACACAAGAGGAGTCAGATTGGTGTAGTGGCTCTTTTCTTGCCTTCCACCTCTGCAAGCCAGGATTGAATCTGACCTAGGTCGGCATGTGGATTGGGTTTTCAGTCCCTGCCTGATTCTGTGGACTTTCCCTGGAATGTTAATCTGGGGTTTTCCTCCCACCTCTAAAACTGGACAAATCTTCATTGTCTTTCTAACTGTCCCTTCATCCTGGAATTGCCGCTAAATGTGCTGTTGGATGAAAAGATGTAAATAAATAAATAAATAAAAATAAATGAATAAACAATATAACCCTGGAAGGCTTGCAGCAATACTCCGTGTTCATGAAAGCAAGTACATCAGTTTCATTATGATTTATCTACAACTTCTTTAATACAATAAAAATACTATAGGTATTTATAGAGTGCCTTTAACATGGATCAAAGCGCTGTACATCAAATATGTATGTGAATTTGGCAACCAAGTGTCCTAATGTACAGAACATGTGGCAGAAGAATGTAGGTGAAATAAAAACATCTACATTATGACCATAAACATACCGGCGTGTATGTAACCTACTTAGAAGCTGGCCATGAAACTTCTCAAATTGCAGTATCTTGCAAAAAAAAAATCTCGTTGGCAAAAGGTTTCATTTCCACAAAGCAATTCCTTAGGGATGATTCAGTTTGACGTCTACATTTGTCCGCCAAATCAATTTCCAGCTAAACAGGAACCACCTTGCCACATTTTGGTGGCTAGCCTGGGCAGGCTTACATTCATGGTCAGGATGGTGCTACGCCCCCCTCTCCCTTCCTATGTGGTGGGCCTCCTCCCTTTCCTGTCACAAAGCTAGTAGCCTCAAGAGCTCAACTCTTTTACCTGTTTGTATTTTGGCCAGATTCCTGTGGTTTGCTAACCAAAAATCCTTTCCTGTCTCTGAAAACAACTGGTATTTCCACACACCACCTATACTTTACCTGAACAATAACAAAGTTTACAGAATAGGTCCTACTATAAAATTTAGCCTTTCCTGCATCCCCTCCTCCACACATTCGCAATGTGACTAAGTTTGGTGAGCGACTGCAACCTTTTCTCAGGATTTCAATTTTTCTGAATGTATCTAAGATGTTTAAAAGATTTCAAAGGACTATTGCTTTCGCAGGCCTTAACCGTTCAGTTCCTGTCTCTCTGGACAACCTTAACAGTGCAACTGGCAGATCCTGGGGGACAATAGGGCCATACCCCCCTTCCCCCCTCACCAAAAAAAGAACAAAAAGTGTTTTGTTTCTTAAATGTTAATGAGAAAAAGTCTATTTTGGGGAGTGTTTCTTTTCTCCTTCCAGAAGCATGTAAAAAGGAACAACTGTAGCCCCACCCCTCAGGCCATAAAAGGTTACGTAGAAATTTTCCAAATTTTGTGCTCCCACTAAACACACATTTTGGCCCTTCCCTCAAAAATGTGGTTGTTGATCTACCCCTGCTCCCTTTGCTGCTCAAAAACCTCCACATGTATAGTTATAAGGAATAAAATGTCATAAAGTGCTTATGGGTAAGACATGTGAAACCAGTTAACATTTTTGCCATTTGAAAGAGTTCCAAACTGCTAAGCTAAAATGTATGAAACTCGAGTTTTGAAAACCAGAATGTCATTCTAAGGAATTATACACAAAGAGAGAGGTTCCTCAGACAGCGCAACATACAGCTTCACAGATACAAACAAATAAATGCAGGGACGCAGAAAGGCAGGGACGCAGAGAGGCAGGGCCAGGGGATATTCCCTGTGCTGACTCATATCCGGTGCACATGTTGGGACTTCGCAGGCCAGCCATTGTTTCCAGAGCATAAACATCAAGTCAGGCGCCTGCTTTGACCTTGCCTGACCCAAAAAAGGACAGTGTGTCCAAAGGCTGTCTTGAGTGTCCAGACCGGGACACTATCGTCACAACAATTTCAGCCTACTGTGAATACATGCTGGGCAGGGCACGAACTTTGTACCAAGAGTACTTTGTAATTTACCGAAAGCTAGATTTTTACTTTTGAGTGATACAAATCAAGAATGACAGGACTGACGGAAGTAAATCTGATGGTATTCAGCCTGAAGCCTGAATTTGTTCCACATGTTACTTTATTGGCATGAAATTCAAATTTAATATTAAGAGAATACATAAAATGTAGCGGTATGACACTTTTTACGTTCTTGTCACTGCATATGGAAAGTGTATTCTATTAAATCACGGAAGAAATAACGTCAAGCATTTAATTTCCTCTGTAAAACCTCAAACTATATATAATATGAGATACAAAGATTTTCCAAACGGGAAATACAAACTTATTTCACTCAACATCTCTCTGATCTGTACATAATTCTGAGTGATTTGAGCTGGATGGTGCACCCGCTGATAAAATAAACAAAAATTAAAAATGATTAAGATACAATTTCAAATAGTCTGAGGACTCACTAATATATTTAAAAAAATTTTCTTCACAGACCTGTATCTTGCCCAATTTGATTCCAGATATACTATTTCTGGACAAAAAAAAAGGTGAGGAAGAAAGATCAGATGCGACCTTGAGCAGGAAGACAGGATCACGCCACATCAATGACAATTAATTTGCTTGCGCGTGATAGCTAGAAAAGGGAAGAGGATGTCGCTGCTGTTTCTTGAGGACATGTTTTTAGCAATGTTCTTCCGACGCCGGGAAGCTTTCGTGCAAACAAACGTGACCATTAATCCCAGGAGTGTCTATAAACAGTAACACTCACAATCTGTGGTGGCAGAATTCAAATCCTGCATTCTGTAGCAATACGGCGATCAGAACGAAGCAGGATATGGCTGAAAAATGACAATTACATTTCCTCATCGAACGATTGGTTTGCATTTCTTCAGCTCCACAAATTACTCCAATAATGTACAGCCAAACTTTCACTATTCAAACATATTCCTCACAATAATATGCATTAAAAAAATAATATCCAAACTTCTCCTGCATATTTTGCAAGGGACCTTATATCCTACAAAAAAAAACCCACTACTGAGCAGGATCCCAATAGTACATTCTTTATGCTTCAACTTTCAAGGGTCACCAAGCCCATGTAAAGTAACAGGAGGCTGTACTGCATGGCCCTTTAGCCTGGGGTGGACTTGTTAGGAAAGATGGAGGTTGAATGCTCTGGGGTCAAGCCAGTCTACTAGAAATCTCCGACCCCGGAACAGGCAGCAATAGTAGGGTTTCAAGTGGTAGGATTTCCGGTGAATTCGACATCACAAAACACTTGCAGGGAAAGTTGCTTGGGATGAAATGTGTTGAACATTTGTAAATTCACACAATCAACATTTGATATGATGTCACAATTTTACATTCGGGTTACGTTAAGCATGAACCGGCCTATAAGAAGTCACATTAATTAATGGCTGCATGGCCCACAGTTATTAACGTGAAGATAAGGCCAAGTCCAAAGGTTATGGCTAGATATAATGCATGCACTTAAGGGAACCATTGGCTATCATCTACAACAATTCTCATCGCCCCAAGCCACAGCCACTTGATTTGGGCAGAGCCCTAATGCCCAAATATTATGAACGTGCCACTGGGTTATGACAGTGCTAGATTAAGGGTGAATTCAAGTAGCTACTGGACAAAATGCCCAGAGCATTAGGTTAAATAAAATCTGTTCTATTAAGCGG